GACTCCCAACCGGCTACAGAATCCATGAGTTCCGGCAACACGAGCTTAGCGGCTGACGCATCCTTAGGGCCCGACCTCAATTCCTCATTTTCTCTGGTGAATCTAAGGTATAAGGCTACATCCCAACTTGTTTGTCTTGATTGAGCTGTTGTGGAGTTGAAATTATTGTGTTGGTTGAATTGGAGTTGAGAATTAAAGGCTCCGAGTTGCTACCGAGGTGAGGTCAAATTGGAGATTGCGAATTCCTTGTTGTTAGTCATTTGAATTGAACTTTAAATTGGAAATGGGAATTTTGTGGTGATTTATTTTTTATTGTACCGTGCGTATAGTTGTTGTTGGAGACACGTCTTGCCGGACGTGTCGAATTTGTTTGTAGGTACACTCTCGATTGGCAACACTTGTCGGACGTTCATCCGAATTATGCCTCTGAAAAAGACGACCGCGGCCTCGAAAAAGAAACAAACGGCTCCTAAGCGAAAACGGGGCACGGCTAATGAGGGGACATCGAATGCTCTAGTTGAGAATGTTACGGAGGATGTCTTGGCGGACCAACCCGGTTCTAAAGACAATAACGACACCGTGATTATACCGTTGGTATGGACCAAACCTTTCCTCATAACCAGACGACGTGAAGCCACTATCTTTTTGAAACTAGAAAAGGAGACAGTCCGACCTCCCCGATATGTTGATCCCGTCGTTCTATCGGATCTTCAAATTTATGCACGGGTCAAACGTTTGTTGAAGAATCTCAACTTGTTGAAATATGTCGCGGTTCAAGCCAATGCTCACGTGAAACTTTGTTGGGAATTCTACACCACTTTCAAACTCGAAGACAAGGGTACTATCGTACGGTGCCGTTTGAATAGCGAGCCGGTTGACGTAACTTCCGAATTGATGAAAGAGCTCTTCAGGCTCTCTTTCGAGGGACCAACTTCCGTGCCGAAAGAGTTTGACACGGCGTCCGCTTGGTTGGAGATATCCGGACTTCCATATTTCAAATTCATAGATTGTGTTACCGGTCATATCAAAGATCCCGCTCTAGCGGTCGTCCACAAATTCATTTGCTACAACATTTTCGGCAAGAAAGATGGACAAAAAGTGAGCACGGATGACATTTTTATTCTTTGGTGTGCTTTGCATGGCAAACCCGTGAATTTGTGTGCTTACGTGTGGAGGAAAATGGCCCAAGTCGTCAACGCAAAGTGTTTCAAGCCCGTATTTGGCCACATGATTACGGTTCTCAGTGCTTATTTTGACGCCCCATTAGAGGGAGAGGTTGTTGAAAAACGGCCAGTAACGGCACGTGAGTTACTCCAAGCGGACCTTGCTCTCAATCGCTATGAAGTTAAGCCACATCACGACCGCAAATGCGTTAAGGCTTATATAAAACGGGTGGAAGAATACCAAAAGGGCCGAGTGGCTACAAACGCCGAGCGCATTAACCGTGAAGTTCTCCTCTCCTCCGAGCCCCACCAAGAAGTAACCGAGCAACAAGAGTCGACCGCCGACTAACCGTCCGATGTTCCCGAAGGCCAACCTAATTCCGAGGAGAT